TTATGTTAAATCCAATTAAAATAATAATATGTTAATAGAGTTGGTGAGGCACGCAATATTAATTAACTAAAATTCTTTTCTTCTTCTAATTCCTACCCTACGTGATTTTTATTTGATATGAAAAGATTATTTGAATATAATTCAAATTCTATTATTTGAAACCAATACTTATTCTAATTCCTTGTATCACATAGTTTTTCAATTCTAGTTGCATACAAACTCAATTGAGAATTTTCACTATAGATACTGCAAGAATTTTCTTTTTTTCACCACGTAAAATAAAGAGAAAGCCATGGTAGAGAGAGGAGAGAAAAATGATCGAAAAATAATGTGAGAATTTTCATGTGCAAGATTTTATTTTCTTTTTACAACCTTTCAGCAAAATGAGGTTAGATATTTTTGTCCAAGTGGTTTGTTTTCGAATACTTTTATATTCAGTAATTTATATATGAATTGCCAATGGACTTTTGGGTTCTTTAGAAAGAGATATGAAATCCTACGGGAATTTAAGATGACCTAAGATGAGTGTGTCGCTTGATTACCGATATGTTCCAAAAGAGAAGAGTGGTATAAAGTGTAGATTTTATTGTTATATAATTCTCTATGAAAACTGTACGTATCTTACTAGATATTTTTAAATACTCACTCTTATAATAATTTTACAGGTTAGTTAGATTCAATTGAAATTGTAGCGGAATGGTAATGCAGAAAGCCAAGAAGATATGAAAAACGAAAAGTATTAAGTTTTCTATCTTTCAATTTGTTTGTTAGTTTAATTTGATAAAAAAAATGTGTTATTATATTAGTTAAGTGTTTATGTTTTTTTCAAATGTACGATTTTAATGAATCTAAATTAAATCATTGAAATTATAACTTTGAAAAAAACATAAACACCTTACTAATTAAATACCACTTTTTTTTTCTTTATCAAATTAAACTATCTAACAAATTGAAAGATTGAAGACTTGATACTTCTTTTTTCGAATCCTCTTGACAGTTTGTATCACCATCCCACCACAGTTCCAATCAACCATAGTTAACCTGTAAAATTATTGTAAGAGTGAATATATAAAAATATACAGTAAGATACTTACAGTTTTCACAGACATTTATATAATAATGAAATCTATACTTCATACTACTATTCTCTTATGGAGTATATCAGTGATAAAGCGACACATACATCTTAAGTCATTTTAACTTTCCATAGGATTTCATATATCTTTCTAAAGAACATGAAAGTTTATTGACAATTCATACATAAATTATTGAATATAAAATTATTCGAAAACAAACCACATGTACAAAAGTATCGTACCTCATTATTGAAATGTTATAAAAATAAAATAAAATCTTACACATGAAAATTTTCATTTTATTTTTCTATCCTCTTCCTCTCCTCTCACTCTACCATGGCCTTCTCTTAATTTTCTGTGGTGAAATAATATGAATTCTCTCAGTATTTATAATGGAAATTCTCAATTGAGTTTGTATACAATTAGAATTAAAAAACTGTGTAATACAAGGAATTTGAATAAGAATTAGTTTCGAATAATAGAATTTGAATTGTACTCAAGTAATGTTTTCATATCCAATATAAATCAAATGGGACAGGGATTAAAGGAGGAAAAAAATTACTTAATTAATATTGCATGCCCCCACCAACTCTATTAACCTATTATTCTTTTAATCGGACTTAACTTGATGCAGTTTAATACAAAATAACTTTTTTTATGTTGAAAACTTCTAATTAATTACAAGTTACAAAAGGAGTCCAATATTGATATACTTATTTTTCTACTATTAAAATCTAATTATTTGGTTAAAATAAAAATTAAATTAAATTATCTCACTTTAGTCCCCTCCAACTTTCAAAACAAATAAATTTTATTCTTTAGGCATTACAATGGCAACCCTGAGCAATACCTCTCGCCATCTACGATGGCCTCAAAATTCAACGCGCCAACCAAAACTTCCTCTTCCTCAATGACACTATCCCACTCTCAAGATCCCCTTAGGCTCCTTCCTCATCCTTAACCACGATGACAATTTCCTTTGTCTTAAAGTAATTTGGTGTTTTTATTAGTGTTATTAACATGGTAAATGGGTTGAAGGAGTAGCCGTGGAGGTTGGTGGAGTTGGTGATGCCGGTGTAGTCACTAGTCGGTGTAGTGGTAAATCGGATTTGATTTTTGTTGTTAAAGTAAATGAAATCACCATCTAGATCAAGTGAGATCAAACTTTGACTTTTTTGGTCAACTAACGACAAGATGGATGGTTTCCATTCATTTGGACCCCATGTGCGAATTTTTGAAAGGTTTAGGAGTGTGACTGGTACAAAGTAAAAGTTAAAGTAATGTCAGTAAAAAAGTGAAAGGTTAGAGACCGTTGTTGCAATTATTCCAAAATATTATTAGGTTGCTCTTGAATTAAATTATTTTCCCAATTTTTGGTGATTTTGGTTTAGATCAGCTCCTGTGTATAGCTTTAATTTCCGAGTTCCAGTGATTTTACTTGGATTAGCATCTGGAAATAGAAAAATTCACATGTATTTAAAATAAATAAATATCAGTGATTATATTTGTGGATGTGGTGTATTGATCTTGGGTTAGAGTGAGCTGGTTTGCGTGAGCTTGATGGGTGAAGATGAAATTCTTACTTTTTCTAACCCTTCTCTCTCTCTCTCTCTATGTTAATGTGTATTTAATTGTTTTAAGTGAGATTTCTTTGTACTTTTTAATTATTGGGACTCCCATTGTAAATTTTTCCTTGTTTTTGTTGTTTATTATATTCTTCTATTTTTATTCACTGAAGAGGGCATCATCCATTTAAATTTTCAAAATGGAGGGAATATGGGTTTTGTCACATAAGATGGTTGAGTGTATTTTTGTTAGATTTCTCAAATTTTGTAGACGAAAAGTACAATTACTAAACATTCAAATTGGAGTCAAGTTTTAAACTTTGCGAACTACAAATATTAGGTCCCATTCTAAATATGTATAAGATCTTTATAGTTCATTAGAAATAACCTAAAAATTAAATCCACGACAATTGCACAATAGGCTAGTTTTGATCCACCCCTCTTTCTTAACAAGTTGTATATAAATCACTTTATTATTATTTTTTTTAATGAAATTTGCAATATGATTAGATTACACTCGAAAGTACAAATCAAGAAAATTAACGTCAATTTAATTTCACAGCAATATATCGAACCATATACTTTTACATGCCAAACATGGAGAAAAAATTACACACAACATATTCATTTCTCGTGTAAGTATGTCATCCTTGTGTATTGTCATTTTAATTTTCTCTATATGGTCTCAATTTGATCGTATATTCTCGAAAAAACAGTCACAAATCATATCCTAATAGTCGAAATTGTTATTATCTTAAAAGATAAAATGTTAGGATTGGTAATGCATCACTATTTTCTTTCCTGATCAAGAAATACCATTTATTAATATTGTACAAAATGGATATTCACATAGGTCAATAGAATAATAATAACTTAAATAATGGGATGACAAAGCTATAAGTATTAATAATAATGAAATAATTAATAGATTAATGAGAGATAAGAATGAACAACAACTTCTGAACAATGGAATTAACAAGCTTAATTCCAAGAACACAAGTGACTAAGAAATAATATTCAGTTTGAAATGTGCGCGCACGTGCATACATGTGTATAAATCTGTGGAAGGCTCCAAATGCCATATGCACACGTGCATACATGTGTGTGTGAGTGCGTGTATTTTAGAGTGGAGAGAAAGTGTGGGCATGTGAATTCATAAAAATTACAGTCAACTGCATAAGCCTCTCCACAGAGATCTCTCAGTTTGCCAGTGTGTATATCTCAGTTTTTATTGGTAAAAAATTCGATTGCGAAGTTCGATACACCAATATTAGACAGTATTGTACATAGTAGTGACTTTCTAGATTATGGGCCTGTTTGGGCTCGATTTTTTGACCACAAAATTTGATTTTTTTATCGTTATTTTACTATTACAACCGTCATATTTGACTTCTTCTCTTATAAATAGACCCTACTTTTCTCCTAATGATCAAAAAATCAATTTTCAAAATCACTCACAAACAGGCTCTATGTAAAGAGTAGATAGTTTTGTTTAGCAGTAGTTCAAGATCGTTTGCAGTGCTCGATCATGGTACGCCTACTACGCTTATTTTTTTCATGATCACTTCAGTGCTCGATAGAGAGAGAACATACCAATAGATAGATAGTTAACAAATTCTTTATTAGAACGTTGAATCGGTTTACTTTAAATCTTCCAATAACTTTAGTTATGAGTCGTAAAGATATAAATTCTTTAACACGTGGCAGTTAATGGGTCGTGTTTTTGACTGGTTATGTACTCTTTTAATATTTCTTGGTCGTCTCTTTCTTATTAATTATAATTATCTTGTACTTATTTACTTTCATCTTAAAAATCAGATGAAATATCAGAGTGTTGAACCGTGTATTTGTAGAAATGGTAAAGAATCTTCATTTTTTAAATTTTGCTGGAAATCATGAATTTCTAATTTCTTGTTAAGGTTATAATATTTCACTCTCAATACTGAAAAATTACTTTCCTACTCGTGGTAATCGATTTTTCACTATAATGAAGAAGAAGAACGCAACTTTTTCTTGTACAAAAGATGACCTAAAAAAAATGTTATTTGTAGTCGCTTATTACTGTAGTTGTCCTAAGTGGCAGTTAATGATTTATTACATAAGATAATAAAAAACTATTACATTAATGTATCAAATCACTAACCGTCATGTGTATACCACATAGGACGACTACAACAGTGAGCGACTGCAAATAACATTACTCAGTGAAATCCATCAAACTGTCCGATAAAAAATTTTGTACATATAACATGATTGAAAGAAAATATTAAAGTCAATCTACTTCTTGTCACCGTGCGACTAAACGTAAGTGTAGATAAATTGTGAGATATTAGTGCAGAAAAGAGGGGTAGGTGTCCCAATTGTGAGGAAGAGAAGATGGATATGTAGCCAGTTTTGTTAAGAGGGTACACAGTGCCTGGCTGTCGAGCATGTGAAGCCGTTGTGGCTCCGTTCCATCCATTCTCTTTCTCCCCTTCTTACATACTTACGCCCCACCCAACTGGCACTTTTTGATTCATTCACACAGAGAGCTGAACGGAGTACGTCAGGACAAAACACTCGTAGGATTTCAGCCTGATTCTCTTTCTGTCTTTCCCCCCCATCCCAGTCCCTTTTATCCTCAGCACTACGCAAAGACTTTGAGAAACCAAAACCCAAAAGAATACAATGAATTATGTGTTCGCCAATTCAGAATGCAGCAGTGGATGTGAATCTGGGTGGACTTTGTACTTAGAACACTCGTCATCTTCTTTCTCTCAGTATAGTCTTGCCAAGAAAGTAAAAGTTTCAGACGAAGAAGAGGAGAATGAAGACTTGTCTATGGTTTCTGATGCATCGTCGGGACCTCCACATTTTCACGAAGAAGATGAGTTTTATCGTGCACCGGTAGATCCCACATTGTCCAAGATTAACAGGCCTAATATGAAGAAGAAAGTTAAGGAAAATCCACGTCGACAGGTTCAGGAACAACCTTCTTTACTCGATGATACTGCTAGCTCCCCTATCTTCGACTACTCCGAGGTAAGTACATTAGATATTGCTCGAACTTTTCTGTCTGAGATATCTCAAGTCATGATATGACTAATCTTGAAAATTGTACAGAAGAATTTCTCACTTCCAAATGGCCAAGCTTTTGTGGGGAATGCATTGGAATACTCACAAGGCTACTCCACAACTCAGTTTGAGGTACTATTCATGCTTCAAAATACTTTTTTTTTTTTTTTAAATAAATACAATTCAAGTTAAACATTTGCTAATCACCAAATCAATTTTTTCGCAGGGGAGATCTACATATCAGGAGAATTATGATTTATTCCAGTCTTCACTGTATGCAAATCAACAGCAGAAAAATCAGTTGAGTACGTATTTCATACCTAATGAAAAGGGCTTCAATTTTACCTCCAAATACGCATTATTCTTACATTTTTTTTATTTAAAATTTTTCTTGAACCTTTTACAGATGGTCTGAAGGGAAAGAGGATTTGACAGCATGAGTTGAAGTCTATCAAGAAGAGAGTTTTTCAAAACAAAGGGAATTGAATCTCATAAGGGATTTTGTTCCTGTTCCTTCATCTATTTTCCCTTTTTTCTTTTGTAGCTGTCAATGTAGTGGGAAACAACTAAAATGCGAGCTAAAATTTCAGTGTTGTTTAGATTTATATTGTTTTATTAACAAATAATGTCAAGAAATGAGCTCTAAGTTTTTCTTGAGCCTCTTTTTATATATATATTCTGTCATGGAGCCCTCCATGTTGCCTTTATATACTTAATTTGTGCAGTGCCCTAAATAGAACGAGCAATCTGGTGGAGTATTTTCCATTTATAATTGATACTAGAGCTTTGCAATGTTCCCTTTTTTAAATTTGTTGGTACTCAAGCAAATTTCGCCGGAGTGAAGATAAATTAAAGGAAGGACTCGAAGATTTGAGCACATTTTAAATACGCTCAAATAGACTCTTGTTATAAGAGTGAAGAGATATGACAAAAGTAACATGACATGTGATAGTCGTTAAGAATTTATTGCTTTAAATCTTTTGAAAATAAACGTTTACGTACTAATCTCAAATTTATTGAGAACAAGAACTTCGGCATTCTAATGTCAATCAAGCGATTTTTTAGGTGTTAGAACCTTGTTTTAAATTCCATTTAAGACAGGTCAACTTTAGAACTACTAGTTCTTGGACTGCAACAATACTAACTCAAGAATTCACTTCGAAACTGCGTTCACTCGAAAGGAAAACTAGTTTCTTTAGCACCACTGAGATTCTTCTCTATGTACACTCAAATTTTCAAGTGCCTTCCAACCTTTTTGTAATAAACAAATAGTGTTTAGGTGGGGTTCTTTTTAATAGCTCTTTGTGTGCAGTTCTAGAACAAAATCTCTAAAAAGTCTTGGCTATAATGTGGACAAAGACCTCACTGTCTCTTAGTGTCCGGACAAGGCTCCGTCCTTAAAATAGTTCAACTTCTCATAATGACTTGAAATTTTGGAGATTAAGAGCATGTTTGGCTAAGTTCATAAAAAAGGTAAAATTATATATTACTTGTAACTTTTTCTTTCTACACACGTTTGAAGAAATTACTTTTGTTTGACTTTTAAGTAAAGAAATAGTTACTATTATACAAATTACTCTTACCTTAATGTTTAACAACTGTTATCCAAATAACTAACTCACTTATGAGTAAACTTTGTCAAGATTAGGCAAACATGATTTAATTGTAGACTCAAATAATGAAACAAGATGATAAAAGTGTAATACTAGGTGATGGGCAGTCAGAGATGATGAGGATGTGCCAAAATAAATGTTTGGAATATTTCATATGCATCTTTATGACCCTTTTTTAACTGCAGAGATCCTGCCTGATATCTCCCTGACCTAATGCAACATGCTGAATTTATTTTAATATTAACTCATTTTATCTCGTTTGGAAGGATCTTATTATTAGTAAAAAATTAATTTATACACAATTTATGTTAATATATTTAGCCTCCTTCCATGTTTGTCTTCTTCAGAGCTGTTATTGGACTTCATGTCTGCCAAAATTATGTGTATCTTTTTTTCTTGATTTAACTATTCTTAATTAAGTTTATTTGTCATTGAAAGTTATGGTTTTGTTAAGGTTGTAACTTAAAACAAATAATTAAGGTCGATATCTTTTTGGATTTGTGAAATCGTATATGAAAATGTTAAAATACAAAGTTTATGAGAAATTTTTTCTTTCCCGATTAATTCATTCAAGGATATTAAAAAATATGTCATAAGCACCAGTTGATTTATACATTAATACTGAAACGTTAAAAAAATATAAAAGATTGATAGCACTTAGATATTTAGTAAGGAAAAATTGCAGTTGAGATATCAAACCTTTCGTTTATTAGCATACTTTGCCCAAACCTTTCATTTGTGGCACCGGAGGGATCAAACCTTTCAAAAATCGACACCCGAAATCCAAATGAATGGAAACCGTTAGTAAATTCGTTAGTTGACCTAGAGTCAACATTTTGACCAAATTTTGACTACATTTTAAAGGGTAAAATGGTAAAATTATATTTTTTTATAAAAAACAATTAAAATAAAAACCTAAAACACAAATACACTTCATCTTCTCCACATACCCTGCACACACCCATCCCCCAAAACCAAAACCAGGAATCGGAACTACCACTGCCACTGCCACTGCCACTCACCCCACCGTCGGAAATCACCACCAAAACACCATGGAAAATAATTTCCTCTTCCATTCACTGTTTTCAACAAAACCAGATTGTAAACGTGTAAATTTCTCTATCCATTTATGTATAATGAGGTTATTTTCAGTTCTTATCCTTCAATTCTATACAATCCTGTTAATCGACTCACCACTTCTGCTCTACACGTTTTAAGAATTTAGAAATGCAAGTACAAAAACTTTGCCCACCGCTCAACCGCTTCCGGCACTGATTCTCCAATCAGTACCCTACACTTGCACATAATTTATGCAATTATTGATTGGCTAATCTCGCAAATGATGAAAAGCATATACTGAGTTTTTGTGTTGTGGGTAGGGAGCATAAGCTGAATAATTATCGATCTGTAATGTCTATCTGTAAGACTGTTGCGTTTCTGCATTTTTGGTTGTTCAAGCTGGTGGATCTGGTGATGGCAGATTTCCAATGACTACTATTTTGCTTTTTGTGAGGATGTGGTGTATTTGTTTGAAACAATGATGTAGGAGGAAATTATTTGCCATGGCATTGGTGGCGTTTCCGACTCCATGGTCGTGGAGGTGATTGGTGGTCACCAACGCGCAGTGGAGGTGGATGTGGGTTGGATTTTGGTTAATTTGATAGGGTTAGGTAAAGGCAAGGGGAAGGGGAAGGGGAAGGGGAAGACGGGTGGGTGGGAAGAAGATGACTAATTTTATTTCATTTTTTGGATTTTTTAATTTAATTAATTTAATTATTTTTTTATAGAGACTGTAATTTTACCATTTTACCCTTTAAAATGCAGTCAAATTTTGGTCAAAATGTTGACTCTATGTCAACTAACAGATTTACTAACGGTTTCCATCCTTTGGACTTCAGGTGCGGATTTTTGAAAGGTTTGGTATCTCTCGTGGCACAAATGAAAGGTTTAGGCAAAGTCTACTAATAAACGAAAGGTTTGGTACCTCGACTGCAATTTTTCCTATTTCGTAATTGATTTGAGCTTACAAACTTATTTAAATAATTGAGAATGTTACCTAGTTAATGAGCAGAAGTGGCATTGAATATAGACGAGGTAGGCGATCGCCTAAAACTCCACTTTGGTGAGACCCTCAAATTATGTAAAATTAATTAATTGGCTGAAGAAAAATGAAAATTGTATTTATGATTCTTTAAAATAAAATAATCATATTCAAACACAGGAAACTAATAAAAATTGAAAATACAAAAACCTCCATTTGAACTAAAAATTTGAAGATTCAATTTAGTAGATTAGTTTGATTTCATTGTTATTATTACTGCCTTACATGTTTCTTTCCTCCTCCCTTATCTTCAAAACATATACTACAGATTATATAGGTTGCTGTTATTATTGTTTTGATTTAGTTTCGTGATAATAACATTTTTAGATGTTTGTCGAAGATATTTTGAATTTAATAATTTTTTATCTGTGCTCATACTTTTTATTTGTAAGTTAATTTTTCATAAATTAATATAAAATTAAAAACTTATTTGTATATGATTTTCATTTTCATTATTTTGTTACACTATCTCTCGTATTCAATATTCTCTAATTTTGTACATAAATCAATCAAATGCATATTCGATTGCATTGCACACCCATTTGCCATTGCATTGAGTTTCTGTTAGCCAAAATTTTCTTATAACTTGTATTGCATGTTGAAATTTGACATTTTGTTATTTCCTTCTTCAAATTTTCAGACTTAGTTGCCTGTCTACAATTTATTTGGGCTATCTGTGGGCTGTATCAACCTGGCTGGAATTAATTCATCAAGTTTAAATTTGTTTTTAATGAGGGAAAAAAATACATAGCTACAAAGGTTTCAAGATGTTGTAGTTGATCCAAATTTTAGTGAGTATTGGAGTTTTTGTTGAAGTGATTTTGAAGAGATCAACGTTATGAACTGAGAAGAAAAGTTGTCGCATTTTTACTAGCCTACCGCTAGAGTAGTAGGCGAGCTTTTGGAGCAATGAGCTGTAGCCCACCAATCGCAGAGCTCAAGCTCAAGCGACATGGCGGTTGTTTGCCTAGCGTTAGACGCCGTTTGAGCGACAATATCGTCCGAAATTTTCCCTTTTTTGTTGATTTCATGTGTATTTTGACCTAGTTTCCATCTTTTAAATTACTTCTAAGGTTTTGACATGTCACCTATAAATAGTAGACTCCTCATTCAGTTTAGTTGAATTGCTGAGATTGTTGTAGCAATATAATTTTCTTCATTGGTTGTTGAATAGAATACTCGGTTCCTCTACCAATCTACTTCTTGCCTTTTAATCTTGTTTTTTGTGTGTGATCATATATTTCATATTGTTTCATAGCCCCCTCACCATTTCACAACAAATTGATATCACAGTTATTCCACTTTCGACAAAGTAGTTTTAGATCTGATCCAAATTATAATAAGTGATATCAGAGCTATTGGTTGTGATTTTGTTTGAGGTTTCTATTATCGATGGCGGCCATGAAGTATAAATCCCACTTTTGGATCGCAATACAAGATTTTCATTGTGGCAACTGAAAATGAGAGCTGTATTGGTGTAGATAAATTTGGATGATACGTTGTTAGAATTTAATAAGATGCCCACAATATGAACGATAGAGAAGAAACAACGGAAAGATCGGAAGACACTTTTACAAATTCACCTTTACTCTTTAAAAATATTCTTTATGACGTTTTGAATGAGGCGACAGCAGTTGCGTTGTGGTTGAAACTGCAGAATTATGCATGATTAAAAGTCTGACGAGCAAATTGCATCTGAAGCGGAGGCTGTACTCTTATTGCATGACAGAAGGCGGATTTTGGGAGATCATGTGGTTATATTCAAGAAGATTACTGATTTGGAGACATTAGAGGTAAAATATGATGAAGAAGATTTGACCTTAATCTTATTGTGCTCCCTGCCTACTTCGTTTTGGTTTGTTTAGAGACAAGATTTTGTATAGTTGTGACACTCTCACCATTGAAGACGTGTATGATACCCTCTTTTCAATGGAGACGAT